TAATATTGTTTCAGAAGCATTTGCTCAATTGTGTGAAAGATTTATAAAAATCTGAAGTCAGTCTTTATTACTCTTTGGCATTAAGTCTTGTGCAAAAGAAAAGCCCAATCTTATATTAGCCATAAAAACAATCAATGTAATCACTGATAATTAGTATGGCTATATAGTTAAAAATAGTCAGAAAAAAATAGGTCCTAAAGAACAGCGAGTTTAGGAATATTCATATAAAATTAATTGTCAGCCATATGATGGTCTTGATTTTGGAGATAAAAGCACACCAGAATTTCCACCATATAGGCTAAAAACAGATAATGATATTCAGAAACTCTTCAATTTTATAAGACAGGAAAAATAATACTTCAGCCTAAATTATTCATTATTCAGATAAGTATCTTGACTATATCAAATGGGAACGTGTTTACTTTATAAACTCCCGCTGATTCTGTTTTATTTTTTTACTTTCGCATTAAGCATGGTCATGAAATCTGCTATACATACTACAGATTCTAGTATCAGAATAAGTTAGCTTATTATAGATAAGGCATATTATTTTAGAACAGGCTTTATAATGTCTGGAACACCCTAAATCACTCATGCATCCTTTCTCATAAATTAAACCATCTTTCTTAATATATTGGCAGATAAAACGTCCTATATGAGGTAATTTTAATATTAATATTCTTAAAACTTCGTCTTTACTTTTATTATAAATATTTAAAAATGTATTGCATATTTTTCATATTCAATGCTGGCTAAAGCTAGTCTCTTTAGAACTGCGTGAATTATATTATTTTTTTTTTTTCCTTCAATCCTCTACTATATGGTATTTCAAAATCTATAATTGAGGAAATTTTTGAATTGAATTTTTTCTCACATAATATAACTAAATAATAGTTAGTATTGATATGGTTACCAAAACGGTTACTCTAAAGACCTGAAAATCTAAAGCTAATAACTTTGTGTTGGTCTTAAAGCAGTTCCTAGAAAAGCATAATCTATCAGCTGATTCTATTCCAGAACAATTAAGCAAACATGCTCTCAAACTTGATGTTTTACTTTTTGATTAGATGGCTCACATATGTATTAAAGTTATTCTTGTCAAAAGCACTAATAATAGAGGCACTAATAATAGACACTCATTTAGTAAAGAGCAGATAGAGGCTCTCTTACCAAATAATAGAAAGAAAAAACTCACTATTAAGAGAAGGGTGGAATACTGTGCTAAGGTCAGTGATTTTGTAGACATTATCGCTAATCATTAGGCAATGAGTCTGAAAAATAAAGATGAAAATGAAATCATTACCAGTGTTTCATATTAGTCAACATTCTATGTAAAGTTAGCAGAAGGTGATGTAGATCCTACAATTATTGAAGAATTTGCCAAAGACAAGGATCTTATCCAAAATTCTAATAAAATTTAGAAAAAACAAACTAAAAAGCAAATGGTTAATCTGGACAGAATTCCCATATATTTTTCCTTAGCAAATGTGAGTAAAAGGATTCAAAACATAGATATTTTCAAAATTTCTACTAGAGAGAATCTTGCGGATGTGATAGTGATGTTGAGTATGAGACCTGCAGAAGTAAGATCTTTTCAGATCAATATCTATGAACTGAACTCTTTGAACATTCTATAATGATATAAAGAGGGTTATTTTTGGTACTGTACTGGCTATTTAAAAAACAGTAGAAAAAAGAAGAAGAATCCTAATTCTCAACCATTTCTTTCTATGGAAAAAAATCCAGAATGCATAAGAGAATTACTTATCTGGATTCAAGATGCAATTAAGGCTAAAAAGTTATCTGACCCTATCTTTACTGAAAGTGAAATATATAATGCTTGATCATTTAATGAATTCTTAAAGCAAGAACCTTATAAAATTATATCTAAAAAATTAAGAGATTATGGAAGTAAACATACTTCTAGAATTTATGGTGGTAAGAACCCAACTTCCCAGCATCTTAAACTGCTTTTGAGAATCGTATTAAGGTAAGAATCTGATCATCTTAATGCAGGTGATAATTATGCTATAAGTAATACAGAATCAGAGGACTCCAGACCTGAAGATGAACACAACTCAGACCAGTGTTGGCAAATAACCTTGAAGTGACCTTAAAATGACCTAATTATGTGATGATTTTACTATGAAATCTATCACGTGATTATATATAAAGTGACCTAGGTTACTTCAAAAAAAGGGAAATAACCTTGAAATTTGTCAACACTGACTCAGATCCAAAATCAGAGTCTATAGAAAATGATGAAATATCTGATATTATCAATATGTATAGCTTTAGCAATGCGCTTTCAGCAAATTTTGCTAGATTCATCACCAATATGCGTAATTTTATTTTTTGTTAAAGATACAGCATATATTATTTATGACGTATTTGGGTGTTATAAATTTACTGGAACTATTAGAACAGATTTTACATTTTTTAGCAATAGATAAATCTCTCTACCCTGCTCTATTTGTTAACTGATTTTGGTATAGATGTGTCATTTCTAGCTTATAGAAATATATTGAATTAAAGAGAAATGACCTGAGATATAGGTATTATTTCCCAGATAGATATATTTATAGTGAGAGAAATCATACTCAATGGAAAATATTTGTAAAAATAATGTGTGAAAAGAATAAGCTAGCTCATGTTTCGAATAAAACACATCTAGAAATTACTTATTACCATTCATTTTCAGATAAAAAAAATAAAAAGTATTACAGATACATTTCCAAATATAATTCATTTAGATTTCAAAAATAGTATAGGTTTTAATGATAGTGTATTATTTATAATAGCGAAATCATATTCTAATTTAAGATATCTTAATTTGTGGGATGCTCAGACAATAACTGATAAAGGGTTATATACAATTGTAGAATCATGCTGTAAATTAGAACATCTAAATATTTCTTACTGCAGAAATATTACCAATAAATCTTTGTTT